GAGATCGTCTTGTGCGAGCCATGGTACCTATATCAAAAATAAGATCAAACACACATTAAAAGAATTCTAAATTCCTTGAAAATACACGACCAACAATGTTTAAAAATGATTTGGGAAAATTTCGGCAGAGTTTCCCCCAATAAAAGGAAGAAACTCCCTGCCAACAATCAACAAATTCACGACCATATCGTATTTAACCAATTCACAAACTCATTGCACATGTATGATATCAATTTCAATCTACAATCTCAACACATGGTTTGAATATTCCACTTTCAACAATTGAACAGCATATTTTAATTAGAATCTCATTAAAAAGTCCAATCTCTTGAGAATTGATGCATATTTCAACAATAGAATATAATCTCAAAGTAAAAAGGACTCTTAAAAGATCAATTTCATTACTTCAAGAACGTACGGGCCAATTATCTCATGATTTTATCCAAGAATTACACACTAATTGGCTATACACATTATCACTAAAATGCCAACTAATGAGCTCCAATTCTTCTTAATGAATGCCAATTATCTCTAAGAACAAGGAATATTCAAGTAAAAGATTTAACATACTTAAACTTAAAATTGAGAAAAATATACAAAAATATCACTATAATAACAATTTTCTCAATTTTAAGCATGCAAGTAGTTCACATAGAGGAGTAATTTCATTCATTAAAGAGTTCATGTGCATTAACCTAAAATTTTAGAAGAAAAATCTACAAAATAATACCAAATCCACAATTCTCTCAAAACTAAGCATGAAAATAGTTGTGACAATCTATTTAAGCACAATGTAGCACAATTGTATCAAGAAATTTCAACTTATGAGCAATTACCAAAATATGTCCAAAACTAGAAAAATGTAAAATTGGGAATTATAAAATCTCAAAAAAATTGTAAATTGTTACCTCAAATGTGTAGATTGATGGTGGAGGATGATAATGATACAAAGTGATGAAGAAACAAGCCCAAATTCGACCACAAATTGTGAGATTTCAGTGCGGCCTGAATTCCCGTTTTGAAGATCAAAACCCCCAAATTGATGTTTTTAAAATGAATTTGTTGAGGGTTTATGATCACAAGAGGTTGGGAGATGTTTTTGTGGTGAAAGATTGAATAATTATTGGATGAAATGGAAGATTGGTGAAGAAGGGCTAGGGTTTTCGGTGAAATAGGAAAAGGAGAATTGGACAAATGCAGAATCAAAGCCTCGGATTTGTTTCTTATCGCGCACAGATCCGAGGTCAGATCGGTTCTGGCATCCCTCAGATCCGCTACTTCAGAAGTTCAGCTGAGCCCTCGGATCCTATTAGATTTTGTTGGATCCAAGCTCAGATCCCCTATGCTGAATTTTTCAAGAATACACAATCCGAGGTCGGATCGTGTATACCAAGGCTCGGATCCTATAGGCTCGGATCCGGCCTTCTAGAAACACAGATGAGCCCTCGGATCATAGTGAACAACTTCGGATCCGAGGTCGGATCGCCAATTTCGTCTTTGAATCTTTAACGGATCCGAGCTCGGATCAGGCTTTTTCTGCAACAATTTCAGAAATTGCAATTTTTCAAACTTTTTCCCCCTTTTTCGACAATTTCCAAATTACACCTTGGACGAAATTTCTATCAATTATACCCTTTCACGCAAGTGTAATATACCATAAACACAATATCAACCTCTCAAAATACATCAAACACATATACATTGCAAATCGAGGGGTGAGTTTCTTTGATCATTTTGGCGCTTTTACACTAAGAGGGCTCCCTTAGGTATGAGATACAAATCAAATGAATCAATGAGCATGTATAAACATGTTATCACTGAAACTTACTTGAATATAATGGAAATGCAACATATTATACATGAAAGGGAATTTTAAACACTTAAAATAGAAATTGGTAAGAAAACTTCCCTTTTAACTATTGTTCTTCAAGTGCACCTCCAAGATGGAAGTTGAAATGCCGGCACCCCCTACAACAAGTGAAATACATATAATTAGTCAATCAAATAACACCAAAATTTAAGAAACATATAAAAACACACAACTACAATATTATTATTGGGTTGCCTCCCAACAAGTGTTTTATTTAAAGTCGCTAAACTCGACTCTCCTACAGCTTCCTTAACTCTCCATTGTATTTCCTAAGGAGTAAATCACTCCTTTAGGAACCCTTTCTCCAGCCAAATAGAGCTTCAATCTTTGATCATTCACTTGAATGGGACACCATTTTCTCCTTTTATTTCCACCGCTCCATAAGAAATGTGCGAACTATTTCAAATGGTCCGGACCATCGAGACTTAAGCTTTCCAGGGAACAATTTAAGTCTTGAGTTAAACAATAACACCTTTTGCCCTTCTTCAAAATGCTTAGGAAGAATATATTTATCATGCCAATATTTGATCTTCCCTTTATAAATTTTAGCATTTTCATACGCATGTAACCGGTGTTCCTCCAATTCACTTAACTCAAGTAGCCTCCTTCCACCTGAAAGATTAAAGTCCATGTTAATTGCTTTAATAGCCCAATAAACTTTATGTTCAATCTCTACAGGTAAGTGACAAGTTTTCCATAGACTAAACGATACGGCGACATCCCTAAAGTGTCTTAAATGCCGTTCGGTAAGTCCATAGTACATCATCTAGCTTTGTAGCCCAATTTTTGCATGATTTAGTTACAGTTTTCTCCAAAATGAGCTTTATCTCTCAATTAGCTAGTTTCGCTTGTCCATTGGCTTGAGGATGGTACAGAAGTGATGTCTTGTGCCTGCAGCCATATTTAAACAATAAGGAGTGAAGTTGTTTATTACAAAAATATTTTCCTTTATCACTAACTATGGCCTTTGAGATACCAAATCTGCAAATAATATTCTTTTTAAGAAACCGGAGTACAACCTTAGAGTCATTAGTAGGTGAAACAATTGCCTCTACCCATTTAGAAACATAATCCACTGCTACTAAGATGTACTTATTATTAAACGAACCAGAAATGGTCCCATAAAATCAATACCCCAAACATCAAATAGCTCAACTTCCAAATATGTAGTTAAAGGCATTTCATCTTTCTAGAGATGTTACCAGTTCTTTGGCATTAATCACAACTTTTAACCCAATTTCTAGCATCTCGGTATATAGTAGGCCAGTAAAATCCAGATTGTCATACCTTTGCTACGTTTTAGTTGTACTAAAATGACCTCCCGTTTCAAGGGTATGACAATGCATTAAAATACTGTGTACCTCTTTTTCTGGAACACATCTTCTAATTATTCCATTTGCACAATATTTATAAAAGAATGGTTCTTCCAAAAATAATGTTTAGCATCATTTAAGAATTTTTTCCTTTGGTGGGAATTCAAATCACTTGATATCACTCCACTAACTACAAAATTAACTAAATTAGCATACAATGGTGACTTTTAAATTGCCATCAAAAAACTCATATGGAAATTCTTCTTTAATGGATGAATGGTCTTCTTGAAGCATGTTTTTCAGTTTAGAAAGATGATCAGCGACTAAGTTCTCTGATCTTTTTTATCTTTGATCTCCAAATCAAATTCCTGCAATAATAAAATCCATCGAATTAGTCCAGGTTTTGCATCTTTCTTATTTAAGAGATATTTGAATGCTGCATGGTCGATATAAATGATGACTTTAGATCTTACTAAATACGATCTAAACTTATCCAATGCAAATATCACTGCTAGCAACTCCTTCTCTGTTGTTGCATAGTTGACTTAGGTTTCATTTAACATTTTACTTGCATAATAAATGACATGAAATTGCTTATAATGTTTTTATCCAAGAACAACTCCAACTGCAAAATCACTCGCATCACACATCAATTTGAATTGCAAGCTCCAATCCGGTGATGCTATTATGGGTGTGGAGACAAGTTTCTTCTTCAACCTATTAAAAGCAAATAAACACTCATCATTAAAATGAAAAGTAATATCTTTTGCAAGTAATTTACATAAAGGTTTAGCAGTCTTGGAGAAATCCTTAATAAACTGCCGATAAAATTTCACGTGTTCAAGAAAATTTCGAATGCCTTTCACATTGGTAGGTGGAGGCATTCTCTCAATAACCTCTATGTAAGGATCAAGCGCTTACCATTGCACCAAAAGCTATAGCAGTTAGCGAAGGTGCAACTTTATTTCCTTAACCACAATGGCAGCGCAAAGCACCGTACCACGCTCGGCCAGCATGAGGGCTGCACCCCTAGGTGCCACGGGCTGGGCGGTTAGTCCTTCGAGCCGGGATCTGAGGGATGTTGCTGATTAGGCCAACACTCTATCTTGGCTTGATCTATCTCAATACCTTATGAAGAAATTTTGTGCCTAGAACAATACCCTCACAAACCATAAAGTGACATTTTTTCCAATTGAGTACAAGGTTTGTTTCTTCAAATCTCTGCAAAATTAGATCTAAATGGTTAAGGCAATGATCATAAGTAGATCCAAATACAGAAAAATCATTCATGAAGATTTTCATGATTTTCTCATTAAAATCAGAGAAAATTGCCATCATGCAATATTGGAAAGTGGCCGGTGGATTATATAGTCAAAAAAGGCATTCTTCGAAATGCAAAAGTGCCGTAAGGACAAGTGAATGTGGTTTTATCTTGATCTTTCGGTGCAATGACTATTTGATTGTATCCTGAAAAACCATCCAAGAAACAAAAAATTCATATCCAGCCAATCTTTCTACCATTTGATCAAGAAAAGGAAAAGGGAAATGATCCTTTCTAGTAGCTGCATTCAGTTTCTATAATTAGTACAGACTCGTCACCCAACTACAACTCTAGAGGAAATCATTTCATCATTTTTACCACACTATGGTTATTCCCCTTTTCTTTAGCACTACATAAATAGGAGAAATACAAACACTATCAGAGATTGGAAAAATTATACCTGCATCCAACCATTTAAAGATTTGTACTCTTATCACTTCTTTCATGTTTGGATTTAACCTTCTTTGAATTTTAACCATCGGTTTAGAATTTTCTTCTAACAAAATCTGTGCATACAAATAGTTGGACTAATTTCTTTGATATCAGAAATTGTCCATCCTATAGCCTTTAAATGCTTCCTCAAAACACGTAAAAACTTTCCTAGTTGTTCCTCATGTAGTGCAGTATTGACAATAACCGGTAATGTCTCATTTTCTCCAAAAAATGCATATTTGAAGTGTTTAGAGAGTGGCTTAAACTCAAGCCATGGAGCTTGCTCACACGATGGTAGAGGTAGCCCTTTGTTCAGCCCTAACTCCTCATACGCATTTCTCCTTTTATAAGGAACTTGTGCCCGCGAAAATTCAGTCATTTCTTCAACTTGTTTCTCTTGTAAGCCTACATCATTAAGACAGAGTTCAAGAGAATCATCATCAAGATTAACTTGACTTATCTTTAATGCTAATTCATCACATATGTCAATAGAATAAATATGGTCAGTAAAAGAGGGATACTTCTCCACTTTACTCAAATCAAACTCCACTTCCTCTTCACCAATTTGGAACTTAAACTTACCACGTTTAACATCTATTATTGTGTCTGCAGTGGTCAGAAATGATCTACCAAGTATAATAGGTACATTGACATCTTCCTCTATATCTAAAACAATAAAATCAACAGGATAATGAATTTCTGCACTTTAATAAGCACATTCTCCAAAATGCCCATTGGATATCTAATAGACCTGTCAGCCAATTGCAAGGAAATGTTAGTACGGTTTAACTCTTTCAACCCCAATTGCCTAGCCACTGTTAAAGGAATCAATGAAACACCCGCACCAAGGTCACATAGTACTTTAGAGAATTCTACATTACCGATAGTGCAAGGAACTGTGAAACTCCACGGATCTTTCAACTTTGGTGGCAATTTATTTTGTATGATGGCACTACATTCTTTCGTTAATGCAATTATTTCACTATCTACTAACCTCCTTTTCTTAGTCATTATTTCTTTGAGAAACTTTGCATATGAAGGAATCTGCAAAATAGCATCAACAAAAGGAATGTTAATATGTAATTGTTTGAAAATGTTGACAAACTTCTCAAATTCTTTGTCATTTCTTGAAGGTTTCAATCTTTGAGGAAATGGCACCGGTGGAGGAATTGGTGTTGCCGCTTCAATTTGTGGCTCACACTCTTCTACCTTTTCTTTCCCATCAATTGTTTTGTTATCATCTCCTAACTCACTCAACTGCTTGTTTTTTCTTCTTTCATATTTTCTCTCACTTTCAACTACAGGTGACTCACCTACTTCCTTACCACTACGGAGGGTTATGGCCTTCACATGCTCCCTTGGGTTCAGCTCAGTCTTGTTAGGTAAATCCCTTTGGTTGCAATTGTTAACTGCATTTGCTATTTGCCATAATTGGATCTCAACATTCCTGTACATATTGGTGAGTTGGTCCATCCTTCCCTCAATTCTTTTAAACCGTTGAGTAGTGGCACTAGCTAACTTTTCAATTTTATCATTTGATACATTTGCCAGCTTCTTAATTATCAATTCCCAAGCTGGTTTGGACTCCGAAAGTGGTTGCTTCAGTTGAAAATTCGGTGGATTAACTAGTCTTTGTTGGTTCCCTTGATCCTTCCATCCAAAATTCGGATGATTACGCCATCCTGGATTGTAGGTATTAGAGTATAGATTATTTTGGGGTGGACGGTTGTAATTGTTGATATATTGAACTTGTTCGCTGCTAGAACACATAGAATCATCATGATCTCCGCTGCAAGTAGTAGAACATGTAACAACTACTCCTTGATTAGAGTTAGAACTAACATGCCTATTAAGCATCTTAACCACATTATCCATCTTTGCACTTAACATATTCAAGGTATCTACTTCGAGTATACCTGCGGTTCTCCTTGTATTATCTCGTTCGTTGGACCCATTGGTAGTTATTAGCAGCCATTTCTTCAATCAATTGTTGAGCTTCCTTGGCTGACTTTCCCATCAATGCTTCTCCCGCTGCTGCATCTACATGCGTCTTTGTTGGATAAGTGAGACCATTGTAAAATGTTTGCACTATAAGCCAATCTAGTAAACCATGATGAGGACATCTTCGTTGTAATTCCCGATAGCGCTCCCAACCTTCGTACAATGTCTCTTCTTTCTATTGAGAGAAACTAGTTATATTCATTCTAAGTTTAGCAGTTTTTCCAAGTGGAAAGAATTTATTAAGAAAAGCCTTAACTAATTCAGCATAAGTAGTAAAAGTGTTTGGAGGATGAGATTGTAATCAAACCTTGGCCTTGTCCCTTAGCGAAAATGAAAACAATCGAAGTTTAATTGTATCATCACTAACACCATTAAACTTAATTGTATCACAGATTTCAAGAAATGTTGACAAGTGAGAATTTGGATCTTTGGTAGCATTACCTCCATATTGAGATTGTTGAACCATTTGAATCAGTGATGGTTTAATTTTAAAATTATTAGCATTTACCGTTGGTCTTGCAATGCTAGTTTGAGATCTTTGTGTCTCCGGTAAAGCAAAATCTCGTAGAACTCGTCTATTTGGTTTGTTTTCCGCCATTTCTTCCTCAAATGGTAGCTCTATCAAAATTTCCTCTATTAGCTGCCAAAGCTCTTGTTTCTCTTGATGCGGTATATTCCTCATTTGTCTAAGAAGTGTCCTCTCAATTTCTGGATCGAAAGGTGCAACTTTTCGATATGTTCGATGCATATACTACAAATAGAAATAAGAGAAATTATGCAGCTTTAATTGTCAAAAACTAAATTAATGCAAAATCAACTATAAACAACTTAAAAACAATAGAAATGTCTAAATTAATAGAAATGATTAGACCCTAATATTGCCGCTCCCGGCAACGGCACCAAAAATTTGATGGAATTTTTATATCAATACAAGTTTGAATTCGATTTTATACCCGTTGACTGCAACTATACAGGTCGAAATCGTAATGTAAGGTATGTATCGAGTCGATCCCACGAGGAGCAATTTAAACAAGTACTAGGACCTTATTTTCTCTATTATTTAGACTTATAAATGAATTTGAGCAGATAAATTATAATGCTATTGTCTATAAATCTAGTTTAACAAATGCTAAATGTAAATGGATAAATTTCACTCAAGAAAAAATCTAGGGATGTTGATTCTACTTATGGCATAAACAACATAAATGAATAGATTTACCTCTTGTTATTATTGTTGTTTAATTAGGGATTCATTTCTAATATTATCAAATCTCATTCTCATGATAAAATGCCCTAGAGCAATCCAGTTTTCCCTATATTCATGGTGAACTACTAGTTCTACTCTGTTTTCCTTCATGAAATGCTAGCTAATCCACTTAAGTGTACATCTATTTTCATGAACATACAACTCAAGCTCTACTCATATTTTTTTCATTGTTACTACCAATTCTCATTGACTAATAACAACTATAAACATGCTATTGGTGATCAAACAACAACAAGTAATTACAACTGCACAAATAGACAAGTTAATACAAGATATAACAAGTGTAAATCACATTCAATTCATATCATTTAGCCATAAGTTTCATCTACTCTCTAGATAAAGAAATTTAGCTACTCATGAATGATATTATGACAATCAAACTCACAAGTTTATTAATGCAAAACATCATAAAGTACAAGTACAAGAAAGATAAAGAAAAGCTTAGCCAATTAATGGTGAAACCCTCAAATTTCTGCTATGTCTTGTACAAGATGATTACAAGTGAAATCTCCAAGTGCTTGTTTTTAGAACTTCTAGTTAGAGAGAAAAATGTTACAAGATGAAAAACTCCTTCCATATGGTGATGCCTGACTTCTCCTTGGTTCTCTGCATAAAAGGTGGTAGAAAGGCAATTTGTTCTCCTTCATGATTCCAACAACTCAGATTTTGTAAAGAAAGTCAAAAGAAATGTTGTTTTGACTTGTCAATAACTCATTTTGTCTTTCCTTTTGTTGCAGAAGCATGTGCCATCGAATTCTCTCACCCAAGATAGCTGGAAAGTTGTGTGAAAAATGAGAAAAAACGGCATTGCCACTTGCAGAAGAGAGAGGCAGATTCGCGCCCTGGATCCGAGGTGTGCACTACGATCCGAGCTCGGATCAAGGCTGATCTGAGGTCTTTCTCTTAATGATCCGAGCTTGGATTGTCTGGACTCGAATGCACTGCTTCAGAAGTACAGAGGAGGGCTCGGATCGCCCTTTGTTCACATGGATCCGAGCTCAGATCTGTGCTGATCAATTTCCAGTTTTTCACTTCTTTCTTTTTCTTCATTTTTGCTCCTAGTTTCTTTTGTACTTTATCCTTTGGACGATCCTTACATTTCCTTCATCTCGTGCATGAATTTCATATATCAATATCCTTCACAATTTCACAAAATTAACGCATTAATCCACTCATTTATCAAATTTTGGACACTTAAACAATATTTAAGCATTTATCACCAAAAGAATTCAAATATGGCTTTAATCTTCTCAAAACATACCAAAAGTTCATGCCAAACTTGTACAAAATGTACATTAAATATTCTCTTATCAATATGTTTGGAATCGAGTCCTCAAATTGACATTCGACTAGAAAACGGAGATTTAGCTACATATCCTCAGGAGAGATCTGCAAAACTCCATCGATAACCATTGGTTTTTCCCAAAAGACTCACTAAAGAAGAGACCAGCGGACGTCTCCTTTTTCTTGTTCCCTCCAAGGTAGTAATCATGCGGGATTCCGGCCTTTTTTCTCTGTTTGTTTCCTAATTGAAGTCCATTACTTCAGCAGTCCATTGGCCAACTAAAAATAGAATTCTAATTGCAAAAGGAAACTTCTCCAACTATTGCTAATTGTTCCCTAATAAGACATCTAATAAAAAGTGGTAGTTTCCTAATTTTCATCCAATACTCCACGTAAACTCCATCTTGAATTGGAAAACTCTTGAAAAATCACCTCTTTTATTACTTTTTTCTCCACCTTCCTACAATTGACACAAAATACCAAATATAAGTAGAATCAATCAATTAATACAATATTTGGTAATATAAACGAGGAAAATAATCATAGAATTAATGACAAAAATGCAACCTATCATAGAACCTTTGAAGTCTCCACCAGAATGTTGCAACAGCATATTGTCATTCAAAAAATGTTCCATGGATGTCGATAGAGTTCCAAGATAACTGGACTGAATTAAGGAATTGGAAATACTGAGGTGACAAATATGTGTCCATATGATTAGTTTAACTCTCTCTCTCTTCTATATTTCTCCGGTGTTCTCTTGATGAAATCTTCTTTTGTAATGACTTATTGAAGTTGCGATTTCTTGGATAGTTAATGAGCTAAAAAAATTTGGATTGCCAATTGATTTCAAGCACTTCCTATTTGTATGGCTCAAGATGTTGAAAGAGCTGGATGTTGATGTATTACTTTGCTAGCAATTATTTTTAGCTAACCAAAGCTGTTGTATGTTTTCTATTGAATGTTTATCAAAGTAGCAAAAGGGGTTGTTGGCACCAAGTGATATTCCAAAAAGCTATCAAATACTAGGGCTTATGAGTTTAAATTTAATGAGCAGCTACGTTGGTCATGTAAAAAAAATTTTTGCCAAACAATTTGATACTTATAAGAACTGGAAAATGTACAATAGACACATGAGAAGCCAAATTGAAGCTATTTGCAGCTAAATTTTCTAATAAAACCACCCAGTAATTCGCTCAGAGAATTAAGATTAGCATGCTAAATGGATTAAGAAATGTTCATAATAGCATTGGAGAGGAACATTTTCCCACCAAACAGTTAGGCAATAATCAATTATTGCTTATTAGAGAGGAAACTTTCCTGGCAAAAAATGTTTTATTGGTACGCGGGGCATTGCAGATTTGTCAAAAGACTCCTTGCTAAATCTATACTATTGGTGAGGATGCGCTATTTTTCCTAGCAAAACGCCTTGACTATTTGCTAGCAATTGATGGGTATTTTACATACGTACAAGTTAAAAAAAATCGAATTACACCCATTCACTGCAAGTATACAGATCAACTAATAGTTTAGGGTATATATCGGGTCGATCCCACAGGGAAGAGTGAACACATACCGGTATAACTAAAGTTTCTCTATTATTTAGAATATCAATGAATTATAACAAATTTAACCTACTGAAATAACAAATAAAAGCTCCTTAGGTTGTGGTATCCCTAACTACTCATACAAGTGCTATATTTGGATCATTGAATACTACATCTAGGCTAGCTATGGTGTAATTTTCTTATGTATTCGAATCTTACTTTCGTAGTTAATCAATTATACTTATAACTAATCCATACCTATTCTCATGGTTATGAAATTAGCTACAAGTTCATTTTTTCAGTGAAATTACATGAAATGAATCACTAAAAACCATATAGGTGCACCTCTACTTTCGTGAGTGTACTCCCTATGTTTAGCACTTCTTGAACTAGTGTTAAATCTCAATTTTCATTGCAGAAACAACACCTTAGATAATCACAATTAATGGTACCAGATTAATCATGATTTAAAGAGCCAAAGTGCTAAATAACTTGCTCAAATCATAGCAATCAAATAACCAAATAATAAACACTAACAATCATAGAAAGTTCAACCAAACCCAAGGTATAAACTTTAAAAACATATAATAAACACAAAATCCAGAACTTGTATATTAAACAAACTTAAGAATCTGATACAAAGCATAAAGAGTTGGAGAAGAAATAACCCTTGTCACTTGAGCTTCAATTCCTCCATCTTCATCCTAATCTAGCCAAGATACAAGAATGGATGATCTATACTATTCTACACTAAGCTAAACTAACACTAGGAAGAT